CTCCCTCCTCCTCCTCACTCCTCCCCTCCTCTCTCTTTCTCTTCCCCTCCCCCTCTCCTCCCTAGCTCCTGCCCCACAGCTTCCCACCTTCAGAGCATGAGACTCAGTCACTCTTCTCATCCTCTGCCTCTGAGTAGCCCCCCAGGGAGAGGACTCATCCGTCTGTCCGTCCATGTCTATCTGTCCATCTGCCCACTGCACTCACCCAGCCCTCAGTCTACACTCAGAAACCGGAAGTTTGAAAGAGGAGCCACTCAGAGGTGGTTGGGTATGGTCCTCTTTGAGACTCCCCAGGAGGCCATGGGAGACCCCACAGGGGCCCTGGAACACTCACCTTAAAGTCCTCCAGAAGCTGGCGGTGCAGGACCCGGCCCAGTGGGGCCATGCCGATGGCCACCACGCGGACTTTGGCGGACGTACTGGCCAGCGAGTGGTCTCGCACAGCCTGCGCCATGTGCCGGGCGAGGCCCACTCGAAGTGCGCTGGTGAGGAGCCAGGCCCCTGGGGGACAGTTGGTGGGCGTGAGGCCTCTCCCCAGCAGCCCACCCTCTGCAGGGGTCAGCCTTGCCCACCTGGCCCACCCAGCAGCAAGTGAGGGGGTTTTGGGGGTGGAACTGAGACTGGTGAGAAGAAGACCCTGGCTGAGGGTGCTTTGTGGGATGTCCACTTGGCCCAGTGGCCCCTGCAGGACCTGCCCCAAGACAGAGCTGGTCCTGGCCGTCCAGTTCCCGAGCTGGGCTGGAAGCAGTGTCCTCCCCCCGAGAGGTAGAGCTTTGTGGAGACCTGTCTGTCAGAGGAGCCCCCACACTGGCACTCTGCACCCAGAGCCACTGGGCATCTGCCCAGTCATTGGAGGCTGACCCTGAGGGGGTGGGAGGACAGCCTCTCGCTTGTTTCCTCTGTGGTGGGGGCATCTCCCTGCCCTGGTGGGCCTACCAGGAGAGGAGCAGGCCTGGGGTGGTCAGCGTCTGTGGGAACCCTCAAGCCTGCTCTATGCTGCACCGCAGGACCTCTGCACACCCACACACCCAGGTTCACACCTACCCAGGCACAGACACACCCACCAGCGCCCGCACGTATAGACTCAGTCCTGGCTACTTACACCCCACATCCACCTACACACTCACCCCCTACCCATACACCAACGCACACGTCTCTCTCTCTCACACACACACACACACACACACGCACAGATGCACCCCACCCACACCACACACACACACTCCACAGCCACCCATTCCCACATCCATCTACACACACCCCCATATCCACACACCCCCATATCCACACACACTCACACACACACACACACACACTCAGCCCTACAAACCCCTACACACCCACTACCACGGACATACCCACACCCACATACACCCACACCCACACACATCCACCAACGCCCCCACATACAGCTACACACACCCCCACACCCGTACACACATCTACACCCACACACGTGCATATCCATACACACATCCACACCCGCCCACATCTACACACCACACACACATCCACTCACACCACACCCACACATGCGCACATCCACCACCCCCACATGCATAACCTCACACGCACCCTCGTACCTACACAACCCTCCACCACACAAGCACACACACGCTCACACTCACCCACTCACACTCCCATGCGTTTGTACACACATATGCACGCACCTCTCATTCAACACACTCACACACACAGATGCGTTCAGCTGCCCACCATGCAGCCATGTCCCCCCACCCCTCACACCCACACGTGCCCAAGTAGCCACTCAGGGTGGCTGGAGGGAGACAGACGAGGGACGCTCGGCCCCGCTGGCCCAACCTCACCTGTGCTCTGTGCTGCCTTCACCAGCCCCTTCCGCAGAACATCCCTGAGCCAGGGTTTCATGGTGAACGGCCGCTCCTCGCCTACTAGGGACACCACCAGGTTGGGGGCCGGCAGGTGCCACTCAGCCAGCATGAGGTTGTAGAGGGCAGCGGGGTCCGCCTCACTGGGCACCTTCACAAACTGTGGGGACAGGAGCTAGGCAGCTTTGGGGCAAATAGGCGTGGTGTAGAGTGCTGTGGGTACCAGGGCGATGGGCACAGGGCAGTGTGGGGAGATGGGCAGGGGACACAGACACTGAGGACTGTGGACACCAGGACAGTCCTGGAGGGCAGTGTGGGGAGGTGGGCATTGAGGAGATGGGCATGGGACCTAGAGGGCAGTGTGGTCAGGAACATGGCCACTGGAGGCTGTGGGTACCAGGGGGCTGGGTACAGGGATGGGCACTGGAAGGCAGACATAGGGAAATGAGTAGGATTGCCAAGACATGGGGTCACTGGAGGGTGGGGTCACCAGGGGGTGGGGTTACTAGGGTGTGGTGACACCATTTCCAGGGCATAGCAGGGTCACCAGGGTGAGGTGGGGTCGCCAAGCTTTGGGTTTGCTGGGGGTCACCAGAGTGTGACGGGGTCACCTGGGAGTGATGGGGTCACCAAGGCATGGCACCACTGGAGGGTGAAGCCACTGGGACATACGGTTCCATGATCTGGGGCGTGGAGTGGTGAGGTCACAGAGCATGGGGTCACTGGGACACAAGGCCATGTCACCGGGACATGGAGTGGTGCAGTCACTGGGACATGAGGTCACAGGGCCTGTCTCCCCTGGGCATGAAGGGGCATGTGCCCCCCCCCCCAGAGGTGGCTCTTACCTTCCCACGTTTCTTCCCATACCCTCCAAAGTCCAGCTCGCCCCGACACAGGCTCTGTCTCCACTCGTGTCTGGGATCCCTGGGGCTGCTGGCCCGGGGGCCCTGCGTGTCCTGCATGGGGGCCTCTCTGCAGAACAGAGCAAATCCTGAGGGCAGGCAGGGCCCAGCCAACAAGGGCAGCCCTGCTGGTGTTCTGCAGCCCCCTTGTGGTGGCATCATCCTGCCCGAGTGAGGTGGGGAGCCCAGCTGTCAGCCCCATCTGGGCACCGTCTCACCCTCCTTCCCCCTCCCCACAGCAAATCGAGGGGTAAAGGGCTGTATGGGACACTTTCAGTCACTCACCCCGCCATGGGCACCACCACAGGCACACGTCTCTCTCTCTCACACACACACACACACACGGGACACTTTCAGTCACTCACCCCGCCATGGGCACCACCACAGGCTGACCACTCCGCCTTGCCGTCTCCTCCCACGGCCCTCACAGGAGTGTCCTAGAGACCCCAAAGACTCTGTGCTGGACATGCCACCCTCCGACCTTCAGGCCCACCCTAGTCCACACCCTGCTGGCCTTTGGAGAGGGCTGGGCCACTGTGGTGGGTGTGGGCAGTGGGTGGTCCAGGTGAAAGGTGAGGGTGTGTGCACCCGCACCCCCCCTTCCCCCACGCAGATCAGCTCGCAAGAGGCCAGGACCTCAGGGCTTCCCTACTGCAGCCTCTACCCCCACAAAGGCCAGAAGCCAGTCCCATGAAGGCCCCCTGCCTCCTAATCCACACACCGCAGTGCCTCCCAGCCGCCCCATCCCGGGACCACCGTGCCTGCCTGGCCTCTGACCACTCAGCGCTGCAGCTTCATTCTCCCCAGGACACTTGAGGCTCGATGTGGCCACAGCACAGCCTGGGCAGCAGGACCATCTTACCCAGGACTTGGGGTTCTCAGAGTTCCCTGGGTCCCTGGCCCTCCTCCAGGTCAGTGTCCCAGGCCCTGAACCCATCCAGCCCAAGGCAGCAGACATGTCCCCACCCCAAAGCCCTGCCCTGCCCTCTGCCCCAGGTGTCCTGGGGAGTGTTCTGTTCGCCATGGAGGGGGCTCTGAGCTGGCCCAACCCCCCTTTCTAATGCAGTCCTTTGTTCCTCAGCCTGGGCCCACCTGTGCACACAGGAGGGTGGGCAGCGGGCAGGGCGGCAGTTGTGGTGTCCAGGGTGTGGAGCTGGGTGAGGGCCCAGCCTGGCCTGCCTGGAGGCCCCCTCTGCAGAGCCCCTCTCCATGTCCCAAGCCCCCCAGGGAGGGCATGCAAATTCCACCACCCTTCCGCCTCCCAGTGTGGGAACGGGGAGGGGGGACCCAGGAGCCACATTTGAATATGGCCTCTGAGTTGGCAGAAATTTGCCTGTTGGGTTTTAATAAGGGCTGAGGAGGCGACTAGTCTAGAGGGCTGCTTTGGGGGGGGGGGACATGGCATGGGTGGCTGGAGATGCCCCCCTTGTCCAAGGTGTACGGACCTGAGACTGGGGCTGATGGGGAGGCAGTGTCCTCACTGTGGGCCTCAGGCCTTGGTCACTGTTGGGGTCTCCCATCTGACTTCCCAAAGGCAGCTCTAGGTCCCCAAATCCCCCTCGATCTTGACCCCACTTTGCCAGCCCTTCCTATCTTGTGGGGTAGGTGAGGGTCCTGGGGTCTGAAGTTGAGGAGGGCAGAGGTGTCTAAAGCAGACCCCACACCCCAGACCTGGCCCTGCTCAGCCTCGGCCCACATCAGGTGGCCACTTGGCCACTGATGCCTACGCAGCCATGAGAGGGGTCCAGGCCCGGCCCCCAGTCTCCCTGTGGGAATGTGCACCCAGGAGTTTCTGGTGGTCTTTCACCACTGCTGCTGGGGACCCAGGTCCTTGCAGAGGGGCCCTCAGGGGTGGGCAGCCCAGTCCAGCTACTGGATCCTACTCAGGACACAACCCCTCAGCCCGAGGCCCCGACAACTGTCATCCAGAGGGTCCCTGAGCTTGGGAAGGGGCTGCCCTCAGGTCTTGGTGCCAAGCCCACAGGGCCTCCCGTCCATGCCCACATTGTGCCCTGCCCCTGGACCTGTGGCAGAGGGCAGCCTGTCCCCAAGGTCCTAACATGGGAGACCCCCTTTCCCAGTGCAGCTCCAGGAAGGTAGGACTCCCTCCTTGCCATAGAGGTGGCCAGAGACCCCCAATACCTGGACCTACCACCCCTCCTGCCCTCAGCCTACCCACCTGCCCCAAGCTGGGCGTACCTACCTGTCCTTCACTGCACTGGCATGCAGCTGCCCGCCGGGCGCCGGGAGGAGCTTCTGCCCTCAGGCAGGACGTACTTTCGAACCTGCCCTGCCCTCCCCCACCACACCCAACACCTGGGCACCTGGGCAGTCCTGCTGCTTAGGGGAGCTGGGTCCCAAGAAACTTGGGCCCAGTTGGGGGTTCAGCCTTCCCCAGGAGTCAGCTTGTCCTCTACAGCAGCTGGTCCTGGGGCACACGCCTTCTGATGGGGCACCCAGACGCGACCCCCGTGGTGGTCAGCAGCCCTCCCTTGTAGAGGAGCCTGGGCGTGGCCTGCAGGAGGGCCAAGTCCGGTGGGTGTCTCCCTGACAGGTGAGGACGCTGCTGCCCGCTGAGCCTGTCTCTGTCCAGCAGGTGGCAGCCCCGGGCTGTCCTCCCAGTGTCTGGGGGGAGGGGAAGAGGCAGAGAGCCCCAGGGACCCCACCATCCATTGAGGACAGAGGACAGAAGCAGGAGCCCCATGTCTTGGGAGGGGTGGACCAAAGTCGGGGGTCCCTGAAGCACGTCTCCCTGGGGGGCGGTGGGGCTGTGAGCGTGTGTGGGCCCTGCCCCCTCCTTCTCAAGGGCAGGGGTCACCGGTGCTCTGTGGCTCCTAGTCCTGGGCTAAAGCACTCCACACTTCTGAGCCCGCTGGGCCTCAGTTTCTCTGCATGTAACCTTGGGGTTCTAATGACCTGGCTTCTGGGAGGGTGTGGGGGTGCCACAGGTAGCGCACGAAGAGCGTGGAGCCCGAAAATGCTTCTGTAACCTTTTGTCCAAGGAGATCCCGGTGCAGGGTTGGGGGACTGGGCTGGACCCCGGGCTCTCGGCAGTGCAGTGGCGCGGTCACCAGAGGGCGCCGCAGGATCGCAGCCGGCCAGCATCAGTGGAGCAGGGAGACTGGACGGTGTGTGGACACCCAGGGTGTCAGAGCAGGGGCCCTTCACCAAGAGCTCGAGCCCTTACAGGGCGGGTTCTGAGAAGGCAGGAAGCCACGCCCTGCCCAGGGCAGGAGAGAGGGTCTGAGGGATCAAGAGGGGCCTCAGGGGGTCCAAGACGAGTCATGTGCTGGGTTCTCAGTGTCCACCATGCCTGGCCTGGCCCACTGTGGAGTCACTGTATCAGCGTGTGGAGAGTGAGGGCCCCCGAGAGTCCCCAGCCTGTGGACCCAGCACTCTGCTGGGTAAGGTGGTGCCCCCTCTCCCTCCACAGGGGCACACAGGCGACCAGCAGCCCTCCCAGACATTCCTTCTCACCTGGCACAAGTCCAGGACCAGGCCAGGTCCCTCCCAGCTTCCAGCCCCCCAGGCTGCCATCGATGGGACCAGGAATCCTGAGCATGATGTCCCCTCCCCGCGCCGCAGCCTCAGCCAGCACCACTGGGCCAGCGCCCACGTTTGCTGCCCCGTCCTCACCCCTCAGCTCCAGGTCCAGTCATATTTATGGGGCTGCATTACCTGCAAGGTCCCCTTGGCTTCCTCCTTCGCTTGTCTGTCTGCTGCCCGTCGGGACTATTGAGTCCATAATGAATGGTGGATTCACTGGTGTCCACCACCCAGGACCTGGTGCACAGGGGACACAGAGCAGGTGGTCTGAAGCTGCTGAATGAGCAAATGAAGGAGTGAGTGAATGAGTTAGTGAATGAGAAACGGGGTTGAAAGAAGGAGTGAGCAGATGACGGTTCATGAGTAAATGAGTGAATGAATGAAGAATGAATGAGAGAGGGATGAAAGTTAGTGAGTGAATGAATGATAGTGGATGAGTGAGGGAGTGCGCCAGTGAGCGCGTGAGGGCACATGAGGGGGTGACTGCGCGAGCGAGGGCCCAGTGAGTGGGTGAACGAGTGAGTGAGGGCATGGACTGAATGAATGAGTGCGGATGTGTGAATGAATGAATGAGTGAGGGCATGTGATTGGCTGAGTGAGGGTGACTGAGTGAATGATAGCGGGTGAGTGAGTGAGTACCCCAGGGAATGCAGAGGGCGCAGTGAGTGGGTGACTGAATGAGTGAGGGCACCTGACTGACTGGATGAATGAGTGAGAGCGCAGTGGGTGGGTGGCTGAGAGTGAATTAGTGAGGATTTGAGGATGGACAGATGAGTGAGGGCACAGGAAGTGGGCGGCTGGACAAGAGAGAGAGGAAATGGGTGGCAGTTTGCGGGTGAGTGTTGGGCGTGTCCAGGCCGAGCCCCTGCCAGTCCATGGACCAAGGACGAGGGTGTGGGGCTGTGCTGAGAGGAGGTGTGGGGACAAGGCTTCCTGGGTGGGTGTGGCAGACTGCTGCAGGCGCTGGCCTGCTCCCCCTCACCGTCAAGGGGGACAGAGATGTTCAGGCTGCTGACGGGGTGGCTCTGACTGGCCTCCAAGCCTCTGACTGGCTTCCAAGTCTCTGGCTTCACTGTGGCATCTGTATCCTCTTTGCTGTGTTGGCACAGGGCAGCTGCCCCATGAGAGGCTTTCACGTGGCCTTCCTTTAGGGGAGAAGCTGGGACGTCGAGGATCCAGTGGGGGCCCCAGCCCTTCTCCACCACCACTCTGCTCCAGCCTCTGTCCCTTGGAGAGTCACTTCCTTCAATCCTCTGATTCATTGTGTCACTTTTACCTTGAAGGAGAGGAGGGTGGCTAGAGAGGGCTGCGCTGACCTTGGTGATTCTATGTGTGTAGTAGACCCCTCAGGGGCAACACTGCTCCCCCCAGCTCCCTGAGGAGCCTGATGTCCAGGTTCAGGTAGGAAGGGCAGCATGGACAGTGCAGTGCTGCTGGGGAGGGACTGAGAAGTGGGGCCACTGCCCACACGTGCCCTTCTCTGATCCTTTCCTGGCAGGGAGGTGCTCCTTGTTGGATAGAGGAGCCATGCTGAAGGGGGCAGGACCAGCTCTGAGGACAGTTACCATCCATATCTCTGAACTGACCCTGAAGTCTGGGCAGTGGTGGCCAAGAGCCACAGGGACCAGCCTCACCTCAATGCAGGATGGTCTCAACGGGACAGACCAACCTGTGGCTCAGGCTTCCATCCCAAACCTCGCTCCAGGTGGTGGGAGTATGTCCTTGCTGTCTATTTTTCTCTACCTGACGTCGCCCACAAGACTGAAGCCACTCCAGGGGTCCTGCAGCCCCTCTGCTTAGAGCAGCACCCTTGGTTCTGAAGCTCTGTGGGTCGCTGTGGACATCCCACTCTTCTAAATGACCACAGGGCCCTTCATCAGTCCATGTCTGTGTGTGCAGCTAGTGGATCCTTGCATATGAACCTAGTCTGGGGTGTGGGGGCTGGAAAGGGCAGAGGAAATGGGTCACCACAGTGAGACCTCTCATGGCATCTTGTCCAGCAGGGCAGCTGACCTCTCTGTGTGAGGGGTCTCCAGAGCAACACCCCCATCTCTCCTGTGAGTCCTGGGAGGCCTGAAATAGCAGAGGATGAGGGGGCTGCCAGTGGCCACTCTGATACCCAGGGGACAGAACCATGTCCTCAGTGGCTCAGGACTCAAGCCCTTCCCTGCTGGCTGTGTCGCTCTGGAACTCTGGGAAGGTGGGTTCCCCAGGCCCCTTCCTGCAACTGCTCCTGGGGGTGATACTGAGAGCAAATGTTCATGAGGCCAAGCAGATGTACCCGTCTGTATGTGTGTGGGTGTGTGTGAAGACTACGGCCAGGAAGCCCTCAGCCAGCATCTGTTCTGTCCCTTCCTCTTGGGCCTGGAGGAGCTGAGAACCCATTCTTGCTCCCCCTTGGTTCCTTTAACAACAGTATCTGTGAGCCCTCCATTCTTTTAGCCCACCCCCAACTGCCTGCCCCCTCCTTATCCACCCACCTGACCATGCAGGTGGTTATTCATCTGACAGGTATTTACTGAACAACTTTTATGTGCCAGGCACTGTCCTAGGGGTCAGGATGATGGCCAACAAACAAAGAAGTGAGTGTCAGAGGCTGTCCAGTCAGTTCTGATTCACAGCCACCCCGTGAGCAATACGGCAAAACACAAACACTGCTTGGTCTTGTACCATCCTCACAATTGTTGCTGTAAAAACCCAGTAAAATAAAGAATTGAATGAGGAGAAAAATAAAGCAGAGAGAACAGCAGGTGAGAACTTGATTTGTAAATGGACTGGTGAAGGAATATCTATCACGAAGGTGATCGTTGTGCACTAACCAAAAGAAAGGTGAAAGCTGTCTGCCCATCTATTGATTTACACCCATCTACCATGCACTCATCACCACCCACCAATCATCCATCCATCCATCCATCCATCCATCTATCCATCCATCATCATCCCTCTATCTGTCCGTCCGTCTGTTGACATCTACAATGTCAACCCATCATCTATCCATCTACACTGTCTACCATCGTCCATCCATCCATCCATCCATCCATCCATCCATCCATCCATCCATCATCCCTCTATTCATCCAATCATCCATCCATCCACCCATCCATCATCCCTCTATCTGTCTGTCCGTCCGTTGACATCTACAGTGTCAACCCATCATCCATCCATCCATCCATCCATCCATCCATCCATCATCCCTCTATTCATCCATCCATCCATCCATCCATCCATCCATCCATCCATCCATCATCCATCCATCTACACATCATCCACCATCCATCCATCCATCTATTTATTTATCCATCTACCACTTACGTATCGCAATCCACCCATCATCCACCTATCCATCTCTTACCCAACCACACTCACTCATCACTATCTGTCCCTCATCTACCCATCCATATATTCATCTATTCACTCATTAACCATTGGAATACCAATTGATGTGTTTCAGGAAACAAATGCAGTCCTGGATGGGCTCACTAGTCTCTGCAAAGAAATTTGAAAGACAGCTATATGGCCAACTGATGAGAAGTGATCCATATTTGGTCCCATTCAAAAAAATATATGATCCAACAAAATGCAGAAATTATTAACAATATTACAGTATTATTAACATTTTGTATCATACAAATGATAATATCAAACAATATCATTAACATTTCATATCCTATAAATGGGGTAAATGATGCAAATAAAATCTTTCTGAAGGTTATTTTAAAATGAAAGGAACAGTACATCGACAGGGGACAGCCAGAAATTAAAATTTTATTCAGAAAAGGCCCTGGAACTGGGGATATCATTGCTGCTGTCAGATGGATCTTGGCTGAAAACAGACAATACCAGAAGGTTGTCTATTTGTGTTTTATTGACAGTACAAAGGCACTCGACTGTGTGGGTTATAACAAATTATGGCTAACAGTGAGAAGAAGGGGAATTTGAGAACACTTAATTATGCTCATGAGAAACTTCTATCTAAACCAAGAGGCTGTTGTGCAAACAGAGCAAGAGAATACTGTATCATTTTAAATTAAGAAAAGTATGCATCAGGGTTTTATCCTTTCTCCATACCTTCTCAATCTGTATGCAGTCTGGGTAGCCTACAGGTAAGGAGTTGAACTGCCAACCCAGAGGCATATAGTTCAAATCCACCAGCGACTCCATGGGAGCAAAAAAGCCAACGTCCTCCTGTGTGACTTGTTCTGTGCCATCGAGTCGACTGCAACTCATAGAAACTCTAAACGCAACCGCTCTGAACCCTGCTCTATCCTGAGCTAATCTCGCTGTCTCTGACTCACTTACCCTCATTACCCCCATTGCTGTGTCAATCCATCTCATCTGGGGTCTTCTTCTCATGCACTGTCCCTCCACCCTTCCAAGCATGACCAGTCCTCTCCAAGGATTGGTCCCTCCTGGCCACATGCCCAAAGTATGTCAGATGGAGCCTCAAAATCTTTGCCTCGAAGGGGAAGCTTCTCCAAGACATATCTGTTCATTTGCTTGGCAGTCCATGGTATGTTCAATAATCTTCTCCAGCACCACACCTCAAAGGCATCAATTCTTTTTCTGTCACTCTTATTTGCTGTCCAGCTCTCTGACACACAGCAAATAATTGTGAAGACTATGGCCTGGATCAGGCACACCTTAGTTTCCAGACTGACATCGTTGCTCTTTAGTACTCTAGAGAGGCCCCTGGAAGCAGCCTTCCCAAATGCAATTTATCTTTTGATTTCTTGACTACTGGTGCCAAGAGTGTTGTTTGTAGAATCTGGCAAGCTGAAGCTGTGAACAATCTCAATCTCTTCACTGTCTATCATGGTGCTGCCAATTGGCCCAGTGGTGACAATCTTTATTTTCCTGATGTTGAGCTTCAAGCCATATTTCAGACTACAGAAATATCTCTGAAAACCCACTGGAGAGTCAACTAAGAATCCATTCTAATTCAACGGCACAGAACAATTTAATCAGTATGCTGAGCGAGTAATTCAAGCAGCTGGCATATATGAAGGAGAATGTGGCATCAGGACTGGAGGAAGACTCACCAACAACCTGCATTATGCAGATGACACAACCCTGCTTACTGAAAGTGAGGTGGACTTGAAGCACTTGCTACAGATCAAAGCCACAACCTTCAGTATGGGCTAAATCTCAACATCAAGAAAACAAAATTTCTCACCTCTGAATTGATTAGGCACCATCATGAGAAGGATTGAAGCTGTCAGCTATTTAATTTTACTTGGCTCCATAATAAAAACTCATAGTAGCAGCAGCTAAGGAATCAAAAGACATGTTGCTTTAGGGAAATCTATTGTCAAGGACCTTTCCAGAGTACTAAAGAACAGGAATGTCATTTTAAAGACTAAAGTGTGCCTGCCTCAAGTCTGGTATTTTGAATTGCTTTGCATTACTCCGAAGGTTGAACATGACTCAGGGTGACAGAAGAATTGATGTCTTTGAGCCGTAGTGTTGGAGAAGAGTGCTGAATACCCCATGGACGGCCAAAAGAAAAATCATGTCTTGGAGGAAGTACAAGGATGCTGTGGTTTAGATGCAAGAATAGTGAAACTTCATCCCACATACTTTGGGCCTATGGGTGGGAGGCGCCCATCCTCAGAAAAAGACATCAGAATGCACACCCTTGTTTATTGCAGCTTTGTTCACAATAGCAAAGAGCTGGAAACAACCCAAGTTCCATCAACAAACGAATGGATAGAGAAGCTCTGGTATACTTACACAATGGAATACTATGCTGTATTGAGAAACAAGGAACTCATGAAATATTATGCAAAATGGGTGATCCTGGAGGACATTATGCTGAGTGAAATGTCTCCGTCACAAAACCACAAATATTGCATAAGGCCACTGTTGTAAAACAGGACTGACATTGGGTTGGGGGGCGAGACTGAGAAAGATGGGAGGAATGATGTATACTGCATTGCAACAGATGAGGGAGAGAACAGTTTAAAAGGGTATTATTATCATTACAGGTATTATTGGGTATTAGTATCATTACAGGAGTCCAGAATGAAGGCTGCACAGTGGAGTGGTCTTGGGGGGAGGGAGTGCATAACAATGAAAGAGTTTTTATTTTTCTTTTCAAAGAGAAGAGTGAATTGGGGGAAGGGCGTCGGCAGGGAGAAAAGTGCAACAATGAATGACTAGAAACCCTAAGTCTCTGTAAACTTTCATTAAAATTAATTTTTAAAAAAGACATCAGACTAGAAAAGGTGGAGAGTTAGTGAAAGATAGGAAGACCCTCAACAAGGTGGATTAACACAGCAACTTTAACAATAGGCTTGCTTGAGCATACTGGGACCATGAGAATGTCTACAAGGGCAAGGCTCAGATCTGTTATTCACAGGGTTGTAATGAATTGTGGTTGACTCAATGGCACCTAACAACAACAGTTGCAACAATATCCATCCATCTACCCATCCACCCATCCATCCATCATCCAGCCATCCATCCATCCATCCCCCATCATCCATCCATCCATCATCCATCCATCCATCCATCCATCCATCCATCCATCCATCCATCCTCCATCCTCCATCCATCCATCCATCCATCCATCCATCCTCCATCCTCCATCATCCATCCATCCATCCATCCATCCATCCATCCATCCATCCATCCACCATTTCTCTCCCTCTCTCTGAATTCTCTTGTTTATCCACCCACCTGTCTTTCTGTCCATCCTCCATCCTCTCTTTAGTTAACCCTCATCATTCAATAATTCTCGTCTGTGCCTGCAGGCACAGAGCCGCATGAGTCAGCCTCCACCCTAGGAGGCCCACCCACTAGCACAGAGGCTTCTTCCGTGAGGGGGAGCAGGGGCGGGGGTGGGGAGGGCACTCAGGGCTGCTCTCTGAGTTCCTGCTTCTCAGGGACCAGGGCAGGAGGCCACACCTTCCCCTCCTGGGGCTGCCACTGTGGCCGAGGAGGCTGGGAATTCAATAGGCTCTCAGCAAATAGCAGAGGTGAGTCATCACTGCCTCCTCCAGCCTCTTCTGTTCTGCATTCACTCTCCTCTCCCCACCGCCTACCCCTCCAAACAGCACTTCTAAGTCCATCTTTGCTCAGACCAGTCGCTGGTCCTGCCTCTGGTGGACCACAGTGCCGGGCTACAGAGGATGGACCCAGTCAGTCATACCCAGCAGGCATCATCAGCTGGCCAACAAGGTGGTCAGCGCCTGGCCACTAAACCAGGTCTCCCACACCCCTCTGCAGAGCACCAGGCCCGCTGTCTCTTTTCTTTATTTATTGTGATTTTAAGGAACATTTACAGAAATGTTGGATTTTCATTCATTCATTGTTGCACATTCTCCTCCTTACCTTTCCCCACTCCATTGAAAAAAAAAATTAATTGTTTCAAATCCTGCTGTCTTATCAGCTGTCCAGAGCAGGCATCTTATCAGAGGCCAGCTGCCCAGGGAAGCATTCACTGGGCACAGTAGGGCACCCTTGGGAGGAGCACCAATGCCGGGGTTAGCTTAGTGTCTAGAGGTCAAGAGGTGTTCACCTCTTACCTGCCTGACCAGCATGTCCCCACAAACCAAATGCTACAGAAGTCTCAAGTTACCAGCAGCTGGATCTGTGGCATACTTGTGCCAAAAAGGATGTCAGATCCGCCACAGCATGACCTTTGGACCAAAAGTCTCACCACGGTCTGTGTAATAGGAGTGAAGTGACAACTGCTAGGGAGGGCTACCTGGACACCTGCCTCCCTGCACACCCGTCTCCTTCCATACCTGTATCCTTACATACCTGCCTCCCTGCACACCAGCACACCTGCCTCCTTACATACCTGTCTCCCTGTACACTTGCCTCCCTGCACACCCGTCTCCCTATATACCTGCATCCTTACATACCTGCTTCTCTGCACACCTGCACACTTGCCTCCTTACATACCTACCTACACACCTGCACACCCACCTCCCTGCAAACCCACCTCCTTACACACCTATCTCCCTACACACCCAGCTTCCTGAACACCTGTCTCCATGCACATCCACCTCCCTGGACACATGTCTCCCTGCATCTCAGCTTCCTGAACACCTGGCTGTCTGCACACCCAGCTCCCTGCACACCTGCCTCCTTGCACACTTGACTTCCTGCACACATGACTTCTTGCACTCCTGGCTCCAGGTCCTTGCCTGCTTTACTACTTTCCCATGAGTGACTAACCAGTTCTGGCTGCCCTGGCATGTTGAGGACAGGCTTGTGCCCAACATGCTCCCCGACAGGGTGAGGGCAAACTCTAGGGCCCAACGAGGCAATGAGAGGGTGACTTGAAGGGTAGTGGTCCTGGCATGACGACAACACAGTCACAAACCCTTTCAAGGAGACTGGATCCACCTGACACAAAAGCAAGTGCCAGCAGCCCTGGGACCTTGTGACTCTTTTGTTACATTTGGTGACTTGGAATTGAGCCTCAGAGAAAGGTCCACAAGGCTTTTCATCAGATAAGCCTGGCCTGAGATATCTAGGGACTTCATGAGACCAGCCAGGTGAGGGGGGAGGACAGTCAGATGACCTCACACCAGACCCAAGTAGACCCCGTGGGGGAGGAACTGCCCTGCATTTCAGGGGCTTGCCTCTACCCCAAGGAAGCAGCACCCCTACGTTCTGAGGAGGTGCCCCTCTGCCACAGCATGGTGGAGCATCATTTCTCCACCAAGTTCAAGCCCAAACCCTACACGGTGGGCGAGCATCATGTCTACACCACAGGGAGCTTACCCTTGCAATATGGGGGATCAGCACCCTATGCTGTGAGGAGCATCACTTCCGCATAATGGGGGAGCAGCCCCTCTATGTTACAGGGATCACCACCCCTACATCGTGGGGATCACTGTATTTATAAGGGAGCACTGCACCGGCACTATGGGGGAGCACCACCCCTACATTATATGGAGCACTACGTGTATAAGGGAGCATTGCACCTGCATGATGGTGTACCCACACTCTGAGAAGTGTCCTCACTGTGTTACAGGGGAGCACCCCTACACTGCACTGGGAAGACCTCCCCTACCTGCCAGGTGCACTCTGAGGGCTCAGGCCTGGGGAGACCATGAACCTTTGCCCCAAAATTTGACTCCATCCCCAGGCAAAGGTCCTCCTGGCATCACTGTCAGCTCCAACTCAATGCTGGTGCTGGCCCAGAGCCCTCAAAGCCGCCCTGTCCCACGATGGTTATTGGTGCTACTGTCCTGAGCACTGTCCCACCCTTCCAGCACCCAGCCCCCCAGCCTGTCCCACCCTCCCAGCACCCAGTCTCCCAGGCTATTCCACTCCCTTGGCACTCCCAAGCCTGTCCCACTCCCTCAGCTCCCCAAGGTCTGTCCACCCCCTTGTCCCTCCTCCCACCTGGACACTTGCTGCCCTTTCTCCCGTCGGCTTCTCTGGCTCTGGTGCCATCCTCACCCCTCAGCTTTTTCAAGCTCATTGGGATTCAGGGTCACCTCTCTGGGTGTCCTCCATACCCAGTGCCCAGCCCCTGAGAATAAGCTGCTGCATACCACAGGGGGCCCACCTCTCCCAGCCCCAATGTCCCCCTTGACTGGCCCTGAGGTCCTGGTCTTGGCAGGACTTGGGGAGCGCCAGTGTACCCACACTGTCCACTGCACTCCTGTGCCCTGCCCTGGGGTTCTGTGTGTTCCCTCCTCACCCAGCCTTTGTCACACCCCAGACCTCTTGAGAAGGGTCATTGTTGCCTGCGGGGTCCCAGGAGAGGCGGGATGAGGAAGGCACACCCCACGCCAGGCCATGTCCTACAAGGGAGGCCCTGGTGGGCTGACCAAAAGTGGACATCACCAAAGGCCACCTCCCCTCTTTCTCACACACTGGCCGCCCCTTAAGGCCCTGGGGCCCTGTGGATCTCCCCCCAGGTCCCCCAGGTGCTGGCTCGTATCATAATCATGATTATTTTAGCTGGAGTGTAAGCATGCCGAGTGGTGACTGGCGTCAAAGGTGACAGCCTGGGGCGGTCCCCTTTCATGTCCACCCCTCCTGCCCTGCCCGGCAAGCGTGTCAGAGCCATTCCCGGACACGGACACGCACACATTTATCAGCAAACACTTCCTTCCTATCTACACCTGATAAGGTCTGTTTGGTCTGAGGTCGAGTTCAAAGAGGAACGGCAAGGTGAATGTGGCCCTCAGAACACTGAGCCCTGAGCCCCAGGCTGGCCAAGGTGCTGCGTGTGGGCTTTGCATGGCCACAAAGGAGCGCATGGGGAGATCTCAGCATGTGTTACTCCATATCCATCCTGGTGCCTTTGTCTTCACCTCTGGTGCTGCCATCACAGAACTTCTTCAGCCTCGATTTGAACCTGCATGTGTCTGGTGGATGGCCTGTCCCACTGGCCACTGGCCTTCTTTTGACTACTGACACTGAACTGCTCCACTGTCTCTTTCCACCGACATGGTCAGTGCGACTCCTGCACAGTCCATCAGGTGAGGCCCATGAGGATAGTCACTGCTTACATTTTAAAAAGCAGTGCTTGCAATGAATAAATCATTGTACAACATCCTGTCATGTGAAGTCTAGCCTCATATCTGTTACCAAGGCCTTATTTTTAATTACCAAGCCTTCTTCATTTATAATTTTTCGGTTGTTGGTTAAAGCCTTGTTCCTAAGCATCTTGAATGCATGTTCGACCAGTTTCAGACCACAGAAGTTTGTAGAAATCTTCAATTTCTTCACCTTTAATGGCTTTAGTGTTTGGTGTGCACTTTTGAACAAAAGCTCTAAGAAAAGCTGACCCAGCAGTGTGGGAATTATCAAACAATACCATTAGTAGCAGATGCAAAGAAAATCCTGCTCGAGGTTCTTTTAAAATGACCAAAGCAGCGCATTGACTGGGAACTGCCAGAAGTTCCAGCTGCATTCAGAAGAGGCCGCAGACTGAGGGCCATCATTGCTGACGTCAGACAGTTCTTGGCTGAACGCAGAGAACACCAGAAAGAGGCTTGCTTAGGTTTCATTGACTATACAGAGGCATTCAGCTGTGTGGACCATAATAAATTATGGATAGAGCTGACAAGAACGGGAATCCCAGAACCTCAGGCGAAACCTGAAGTCCTGGCTGGAGGGAGTCAGCTCCAGGGCCAGGCTTTCCCAGTCTCCTTGCTCTAGGAGTTCCCTGTTGAAAATACCCTGGTCATAGGATGTTCTCTAAGGCTGGTCCTTCTGCCCTGGTGGTACCCAGACTCCCTCGTGCCACCCCCCTCCTCAGACCAGCCTGCTTATTCTCTCTACTTTTCTCTTCCAGGAGATGAAAATAGGCTACACCCAGAGCAGGTTCTCTTCCGTGGGACTAGGGTTGTGAGGAGGTTAAGCGTGTTGTTTTTGTTGTTAGGTGTCATCAAGTCGATCCTGTGAACAGCAGATCTGAACCTGTCCTGTGCTGTTCTGTCCTCACCGTCTTGGGCACACTCAAGCCGGCTGCTGCGGTCACTGTGTCAACCCACCTGGTTAAAGGGCTTCCTTTCCTTCACTGTTCCTCCACCTTTCCAAGCATGCTGTCCCTCTCCAAGAAATAGCCTTTCCCGGCAACATGCCCTAAGGATGTGACGTGAAGTGTCACCATCTTAGCCTTCAAGGAGCACCCAGGCAGCATCTTCTCCAAGACATGCTTGTTTGATCTTTGGTGGTGCTTGTTATGTGCCATCAAGTTGCTTATGACTCATAGTGACCCTATATACAACAGCCCTGAAACCTGCTCTGCCCTGTGCAAACTTTACTGTCTCTGACACACCTAACCTCATCACCCCAGTCACTGAACCAATCCATCTCATTGATGGTAGCCCTCTCTTTCTCTGTCTCTCCACCCTTTCAAGCACGACGTCCCTCTCCAAGGATCACTCCCTCTTTGCAACATGCCCAAACTATGTCAGACAAAGCCTCAGAATCCTTGCTTCGAAGGAGCAGGCTGGTTTTAACTTCTCTAGGATGAACCTGTTTGTTCTCCTAGCCAACCATGGTACATTCAATACTCTTCTCCAGCACCACAGCTCAAAGGCATCAACTCTATCATCCCTAGTCATTGCCCAACTCTTTGACACATAGAAAGTAATTGTGAAGATCACGGGCTGGGTCAGGCGCACCTTAGTCTCCAGACTTGGTAGTCAATGGAATGTTCAGTGCCCCTCGTCAATACCACAGCTCAAAGGCACCAAGTTTTCTCCTGAATGACAGAAGAAGAGGTGCTGTATGTCCCATAATACTTTTATAACTTTAGTTTATCAGATCACAGGGCCATCATATAGCCACCACATTACATTCCTGTGTTCAGAGGACACACAATTCAATCCATGACCCCCTTTAAGCAGTTCTGGTGACCTTCGAGACTCTGGGGTTTTGAATACTGTGATGGGACTTTCTAGAATCACCTTGTAGACTTCCTGCTTCAGACCTGGTGTGGCCACTTCTCTAAGGAGACCTAGCTCTTTTTAGGGAGAAACAGGGAGCCCAAGCTGGCCTACAGGGTGTTCTTGCTATGACTTGTTATTGCTCGTGAAATCTATCCAAGGGAGGACTTTGGTTTTGAGATTAAACAGCTGAGAAGTTTATGCTAATATTCCCATAATATTCCTGAAATTTAAGAATGGGCTCACACTTACTTCTTTGATTTTGTAATTGTGGCTCTTCTCTCTCATAAGGACCCCTGGTGGCCTGCTCCACTGCGAGTAGTGATGCTAGTCAGAAGACCACTCATCTCTGGTGGTTCGAATCCACCAATGGTTCTTGGGAGAATGAAGGACCATCTCCTCCCACTAGGATTTGCTGCCTTGGGCTCTGAGCGGAGGGTCGGAAGGGACTTGAGGAGGTGAGTCTGAGGGTTTCTTCGAAACCAAGACTCTCAGTCTCTAAGGGATTTAACATGATTATCTAAATGGGGTCAAAACAAATCAGCATGAACTGAGACAGCATTTAAAAAACTTATTTCATATGTGTGTGTATACATGTGTTGTTGTTTACCATCGAGTCAGAACTGACCCATCGCTGACCCTCTGTGGGTTTTCAGAGTTAATCTCATGGGAGGAGATTGCCCATCCGTCTCCCACGGAGCAGCTGGTGGTCTCAAACTGTATGTCTTCAGGATTGCAGCACAGCTTCTTGCCACCAGGCTACAGAGCGCACGTGTGCTCTCTCTCTCTCTCTCTCTCTCCCTCTCTCCCTCTCTCCCTCTCTCTCTCTCTCCACACACACACACAGACACATCTCATACACGTTATTTGTTGTTATTAAAGTCTGCGCTAATTCATGGCTGACCCTCCAGTGCTTTCAGAGGCTGTAAATTGCACGAGAGAGAGAGCGCACACACGTAGATGTTGTTGTTATAAGTCATCTGTAACTCATAGCGATCCTGTGCACAACAGCTCTGAATCCTGCCCTGAGCCAGGCTCCCTGTCTCTGACACCCCTAACCCCAGTACCCCAGGTACTGTGTCCATCCATCTCATCCACGTCTTCCGCTCCTGCGCTGTCCCTCCACCCTTCCAACCATGATGTTCTTCTCCAAGGACTGGTCTCTCCTGGCCAAGTGCACAAAGTATGTGAGATGCAGCTTCAAAATCCTTGCCTCCAGGGAGAAATATAGACCTGTTTGTTTTCTTGGTGGTCCATGGTATGTTCAAGCCTCTTCTCCAGCACCACAACTCGAAGGTATCAATTCTTCTTCTGTTATCCTTAGTCACTGTCCAGCTCTCTGATGAATAGTAAACAATTGCAAAGATCCTGGTGTGGATCAGGCACACCTTAGTCCCTAGATTGACATCATTACTCTTTAGCACTTTGGCAAGATGTATGTGTTTGTCTATACCATCTTTTTAAATCTGCTCTGACAGACCACAAGTGGATGGTTTTAACCAGCAGACATGCACACTGCCACCATTTAGGCAGTGGGTTCCCCTACTCTCTTCTCCTTTTATCTCTTGTGATGTGAGAGGCATCCTACATCACACCCCAGGGAATTCCCCGTACCTTGGCCAAGGCCTGTGAGGGGATTAAGGATGCTGCAATCTTCTCATGACTGACTGGATTATCAGATCGTGGGGTCATTACGTAGCTTCCACATTACTCACGCCCACATGCTCTTGAGGGTTACTATCCAATCCCCAGGGCGCTCAGGTGGCCTATGTGTCAGTTCAGATTTGATCACAATGAGGTTTTAGAAAATTCAATCCAAGACACCCCCCCAACACACACCTGTTGCTATTTGACTGCAGCTAACAGCAAGCCCCCAGGGCGATCAGGGTCTTCAGGGCTCAGAGTCTCCTAGCCAGGATTGACTCTAGCATTTGACCCCAGCTCTGGCTCCTGGATTTCAAGGCCCAGGTGGAAGTGTCCTCTCGCTCCTGGGGAGTGAGGACTCATCCCCTTCTCCTTCTCTGCACCTGCCTGGCTTTGCTCACCAGGCAGACTGAAACCTCACACCTTCAGGAAGGAGCGCTCATGTGGGACGCGGAGCAGCTGGTGCCACCTCTTTCCATATGGTTCTCTTGTTATATCCTAGTGCCACTTCCCAAGGTCCCCTTCCTGATCTGGGACGTATGTATGCAGACTGGTCAATCCCACCTTCAACCAGAGAATATTCACTGAGCGCCTTCCCTATGCGTGCAGGTGCATGTGTGTGTGCACATGTGTGTCTCAGTAGGTGTGTATGTCTTGTTTGCGATTGTGTGTGCATCTATGCACGTCTCTGTGTGCACGTGTTGGTGTAGGTGCGTATGTTTTGTATGTGGTTGTGTATGCATCTGTGCATGTCTCCTTGTGCATGTGTGTGTCTGAGTAGGCAGGTATGTCTCTGTGTGTAGCTGTATGCACGTCTATGCACGTCTGTGTGTGCATGTGTGTGTACTGACACCCACCCTGCGGACTCCTTTCCTGCAGAGAGAAATTTTCCCCTTCGTCCAGCCTTCTCTGCGTGTTTCAAATCTTCAGCGTCTCCTGGAGCCCTCCCCTCCAGTTCAGTATGGCTGGGGACCCCCTTTTGCTCATTCTCTGCATAGCTACATGGTGCCCCTGCTGAACGCAGGGTAGGGGCAGGTCTTCACCACTGGCACCCCACGGTGACCATGCTCATTGAAAGCTTGGGAAGCTGCTTGTAAATCCTGGGTTCTGACCTGTGAGAGGTCACAGCCAAGTCGCGCACTCCCAGTACCTGCCTTGGAGGAGTGAGCTCTCCCTGTGCCCAGAACAATGCCTTTCCTACCCCGCCCTCAGTGCCATGAAGCCCAGGGGAACAAGTGCAGATCGAGGAAGCATCCATTGCTGTCGCCCACGCTGTCCCAGGACACACAAAGCCAACGTGCAGCAGGCTGGGAGTGTAGGAAGACAAGGCCCCATTCTCTTCATTGACCCTCGGGGACCAGGGCTGCGTTCTGCCTCGCCTACTACCTGCAGGGCGGCCCCTCCTCCACGCCCACCCCAGCCCACAGCCCAGCAGCTCCTGGTGAATCCCGTGTCAGCCTGTCCTGGAGTCCCCAGCTAGTGGTTGGACTAACGCGCCTCACCCCCTAGACCCACCAGCCGCGCTGCTGCCCGTCAGTACTCAGGGACCCCCCCACCTCCAGCGAGTGGTGGGACTAACGCGTCCCAGCACCAGGACAGCCAGCGCGCACGTGCCCAGGGCGCCCCGTCCCCGCCTCCCCGGCTCCCTCTGCCGAGCGGCTCAGACTGCACTGGGCGGCCCCCCGCGCCCGGCTCTCTGCATGGA